CTCTATTCGTTGCCAGTCTTATTGTCTCTGACACACCTATCCCCATTAACACAGTCCCTGAATCAATTCTTCTCATCGAGGGTCTTCCTTTCCTGTGCTGTCCTTCCACCCTCTCATGCATGACGTCCTTCTTCAAGGACTGATCCCGCCTTGCAACATGTCCAAAGTATGTCAGACGAAGAATCTTTGCCTCCAAGGATTCTCGCCTGGCTTTACCCTTTCCAGGATGAACTTGTTTGTTCTCCTAGCAGTCCATGGTATATTCAGTATTCTTCTCCAGCAACACATCTCAAAAGAATCAATTCTCTTCTTATCATCCCTAGTCATTGTCCAGCTCTCTGATGCATAGCATGTAATTACAAAGACCATGACCTGTATCAGGAGCACCTTAGTCTCTCCAGACTGACATCATTGCTCTTCAGTGATTTGGAGAAGGCTCCGACAGCAGACTTTGCCAATACAATTTGTCTTTTAATTTCCTGGTTGCTGGTACCAACAGTGTTATTATAGAGCCAAGCAAACTGAAGTTGTCAACAATCTCAATCTCATCACCATCTATCATGATGCTGCCAGTTGGGAGGGGTGAGAATATTTGGGTTTTTTGTTTTTTTATCTTGCGCTTCAATCCATACTGAAGGCTGCAGTCCTTGACCTTCTGCAGCAAGTACTTAAGGTCCTCCTCAGTTTCAGCAAGCAGGGTTGTGTCATCTGCATAATACAGATTATTGATGAGTCTACCTCCAATCCTGATGCCACACTTCTCCTCATAGAGCCCAGTTTCCCAGATAATCTGTTCCGCATATAGATTAAAAAGATATGAAGATAAGACATATCCTTGATGCACACCCTTCCCAATTTTGAAACAAGCAGTGTTTCCTTGCTCTGTTCTGACAGATGCCTCCTGGTCCTAGTACAGTTTTCACATAAGCACAATCAAGTGTTCTGGGATTCCCATTCTCCTCAGAGTCAACCACAGTTTATATAGGAGAAATATAAAGCAGAGAATACCCCAGGATGTTTCTTGAACTTTATTTACTGTGTTAAGTCATTTAACTATGTGGATCATAACATTATGTATGGATAAAAGTTTGAAGGGTATGAATTTCAGAACATTTACTTGTGAGCATGCACTCTTGTACACATTCCATAAAAAATATGAGCAGACCAAGGGGACACTGCATGATTTAAAGTCAGATAATGCATGCATTGGAATTGTATCCTTTCTTCATTATCTACTCAATCTATATGATGAGTTAATAATCTGAAAACTGAACTATATGAAGAAGAACGTGTCACCAAAATTGGAAGAAGGCTCATCTTTAGCCTACAATTTATAGATGATACTTGCTTGCAGGAAATGGAGAAGACTTAAAGCACTTGCTGATGATGTTAAAAAACTTACATCTCAACATATAGAAAACAAAACTTGTAAGAACCGGATGGAGAAAATTTTGAAGCTGTTAAGGATTTCATTTTATTAAATCCACAATAAACACTGATAGTAGCAGTAGCAGTGACAAAGTTTAACAGGACAGTAAGTAATAAATGTTGGAGAGGATGTGGCGAGATAGGAACTCTTGGTGGGGTTGTACAATGGTACAACAACTCTGGAAGGTAGTTTGACACTTTTCAAAAAGTTGAACATAGAAATTCTATATGACTCAGCTATTCCATTGCTTGGAATATACCCCAAGAAAATGAGAACTGAGGTACAATAGAGACTTGTACACCAATGTTTACAGTAACGTTGTGTTCACCATTTCAAGAACATAGAATTAGCCCAGATGTCCAACCACAAATGAATAGTTTGATAGATTATGGTACATTCATAACAATGGAATATATGCAACATGCAGAAACAATGATTACTACTTAAATTGGGAGGGACTGGAGAGCATTATGCTGACTGAACTAAGTCCATTAAGGACTGTATAAATACATTATTATACAAGTACTGTATAAAACCATTATTGTAGAATGAGTATGAGAATCCAACGGGGCAGAAGGTGGAAGCAAAGGGGTGAGGATGTGCGTACATTTGGGGATGATTAATCATGGGGTCACACAATTTGATGGGTGGTATGTGAGGGAAATTGGAAGGATCTGGTATGAAAAACAATATATTAAAATTTTGTAAGTTAGTATAAAAAAGAATGTAAAATAGAATATATATGAATGAT